GCCACTGAGGAACCCATACTGGTCTTTCTGATTTCCAAGTAATTTTTATTGTCTCAGTGGCCCTTTCTGAAAATCCAACCCATGTCTGTCCGTTCCTTGATCTATTTGTATTGGTGTTGCTATACCTTGTTCTTATATTTCTAATCTTCTTCCTTTCCTAAAACCTTGTCTAGTCATAATAGTGGGTGCATTTTGGTTGATGTTATTTGTTAATGTCAAACCTAATTGATCTAGAACATCTCATCCCCATAAATTTTCAGACTAGCAATATCAGCTTAATCTGGGAACTTGTTTGACATTCAGGTTTTGTCAGACATTCAGATTCATCCCAAAATACAGAGCTACAAACTCTGGGGATAAGGGCCAATAATCTGGGAGTACATGTGGGACTATTTCACTTATTAATTATATTTTTAATCAACTAATTAAGCTTTTAAAACATTTTTTAAATAACTTCAAATCCAGAAAAAAATTATAAGAAATAGTACTGACTGATCCTATTAGCCTTTGCTCAATTTTCCACATTGGTAAAGTCTTGTAAAACTATAGTGCAATATCACATTCAGGTTCATGACATTGATATAATCAAGCTACAAATGCAGAACATTTCTGTCACCACAATGATCATTCACATTTCTTTTTGTAGCTACTTCCACTTGCCCTCATCTACTCCTTAACCCCAGCAACCATAAACTTGTTCTACATTTTTACAATGTTGTCATTTCAAGAATGTTATACAAAAGAAATCATATAGAATATAACTTTTGAGAATTGGCTTTTTTTAAGGAAGCATACGGATCATCTAGATTATTGTGTATTACAAATATGTTCCTGAGCATTACCAATTAGTATTCCATGTGTGGATATGTCATAATTTGCTTAACCATTGGCCTGTTGCAATCTCATTTAACAAGCTTTCCAGGTAGGGTATTCTCAAGGTTGACCACCACTGATGTTTAGACAAGTGAGCTCTGAGCCCCAGCATGCTGGTCCCCAAATAAACCCTTTGCTGTTGCATGAGACAGTCTCTTGGTGGTCTCTTCCTCTGACGTTTTGCCAGTCCCTTACAATTTGAACACTGTTGTAGAGCTGTTAACAAAACTGACAAAGTGGCTAATGTTTATTAATTACCTATGAATGCCAGTTACTGTCTTGAGTACTTTATATTTCAACCATCAAAACAACATTTTGATGTTTATGCCATTATTATCTCCATTTTACAGTTGAGGAAATTGAGATGTCAGAAAATTGATCATCTTGCTAAGGATCTCAGAGAGATAAGGGGCTAGGGTGTGATATGGGAAAGGATTCAAACTCAAGTAGTCTAATCTAGAGTCTACACGTTTCTCTAACAAAAAACCCCTTGGAGAACTTAGGATATTCACACTTATTTATCAACAACACCCATTAAGAAGGTCAGAATCTCCCTTAGTCCTTGACAGTTTCAATAGCTCACTTGGCATAGAACGTATATCTTATTGAAAGTTTGGGTGAAGATAAAATCAGAAAGATAAAAATGCAGAATACCACTGGACTCTGTAAAGAGAGCTGGGAGCTGCCACTGACATATTCTATGTGTGCATAGTAGGAACAAAAGTGTTGCAAGGGACAAACATAAGGCAAGATAGCACAGGCAACGTTCTAATCTGTGTCCAGACATATGAAAGTTTTGACAGTGACTTCCTCAACAAGCAAAAGAAACACCAAACACTAAAGCTGGGTTCACTTCTAAACCACATCTAGAACAAAATATCAGCTGTTAAAAATAGCCTCCAGATCTGCATTATCGATTAAAATTGATAATGTTAAATATTAAACATTTTAACAATGTTTAGAAATCAATTTCTAAAAACACAGACAATGGTTATGACTGGATGTACTCAAATATAAAGAAACAACATTGCACTTTTTTTTTTTAAAGTCTAGTTATGTCTGCACAGTTTGTTACTATGGAACCACATGTGATGTCACAAATTTGACATTCTAAATGCAGAGCCAGACTGAGCATGGGAAGCAATAGGAAATGGAGCTGAAGAGACAAAATCCTGCGTAACAACAAGAAAATTTCAAGTTAAAGAAATGAGTCAAACATCTTTGAAACAGAAAAAGAAAGTGAGTGAACCAAATGCCTAGACTCTTACCAATAAGCTGAGGAAATGTAAATGTTAATCTACCCTTCACCTCAGGGAATGCCCCGCAGAAAACAAATAATTTCAGATAATGGCTCTATGTAGAGGAAAGCTGAGGTAGAAGAAAAGGAAACTATGACAGGAAAACAATAGATTAACATTTACAGACTAACTCAATTCAGTAAGTCAGAGTTTCTTGAGCACATGATCTTAAATGGTAAGAAGTAAACACCCAATGTCTGTCTCTGAAGAATGCACAGCATAGAAAGACCAAGAAGAAACCCATAAAACAAAATTCAGTGCTCAGCAAAGTTTAGACAAAAGACACAGACAGTACAAACTTTACAGTACAGACAATGTTTACCTCTGTGATCTGCCCCCAGGCAACACTAAGCTGAATTTCAAAATGACTAAAGGAAGAGGGCATTACAAGGAGTCCAGGGTGGCATGTGGGCAAATACAAGTCATTTGGCATCTGTAGAACCTGAAAGAGTTGTACAAGTTGGAGATGGACAGGAGTGCATTACAAGGCTCCTGGTCTGTCTAACCAAGTAAATCAGATTTACATTTTATAATAAGCTTGACAGATTTAGAAGTGGGAAGGATTTGAGGCCATGAAATCCGTTCAAAGGCCATAATCTAAGAACTATGATAAGAAGTCTGCAATAAAGTAATAGTAAAGAGAGAGAATGGGACTTAAAATATCTTTTGGAGTTAGAAATGATAGGATATTATGGTGACTGATATGGCAGTGGTGATGAAAAATTTTAGAATTAGTTTGAGAGCCATGTAGCTAATTCTCTGGGATCATATTCTTATTCAATTAACACTGATGACACATTCCTGGTCCAAGGCATACAGCATAAATGGATGAACAGAGATGGCTTCTGAAGGACCTTGGTCTGTTTAAGCTCCTTAAACAGAAAAATGACACTAATCTTGGTCACATCAATGGTATTGAATTACTTGAAACAATGTAAACAGTTGCTAAGTTTATCTCCCAATGGAAAATTAAGACATGAATGTTTGAATAGGTTTCTGTAGAGTGAGTTATCTTCTTTTCTCCCATGTGGTTTTCCTTATTAATTTTTTAATAAGGAAATGGTCTAGATGCTGAAAGTAATTTGACAGTAAGAACAGAAAATGTCTGTAATAAATCTTTACAGAATGAGAGTTCTCATTATTAAGACTCATAATAATATTGTTGAGGCTCAGATACTCAGAACCCTGGCACTTGAGTAATTAAGAAAACAAATAGGGAAAAGGTTAGGGAGTGAGAATTATTAAATTATGCTATGTGCATATACGAATGCCATAATGTATCCCACTATTATGTCAAATTACAATGCACAAAAAATAGCTGTTATTAATATATTCAAGGAAATTAAAGAGAATTTTACCATTAAAAAAAAAGGAAAATGAACATGGAAATTTTCAATTCTATATGGCAAAGTGAAAAGTTCCATAAGTAGCAACTTTTAGAGGAAATGAAGGGGGAAAAAAACAGTTCTGTACAAACAAGGTCATATTTAAATCCAACCTCTGCTGAACCCTGGAAAATCCTCCCATAGCATTTCCCATAAGAATAATTAAGTGATAAATGTGTCAATATTTCAAACCAATGAACCAACAAATTTTTATAAAAATGATTTGTGTAATTCATATTTGTAAAATGTGTTATTTTTATCCAGGCTTGTTAGAATGGGGAAAATATAAGGTCTAAAGTTCATACTTTTATATTAGCAAGGAGAAAAATTCTGTTTTAGTTATCCTTTTATTCCCAAACCCAAAGTATCTAATGCCCCTGAGTTTAAAAATTAATAAGTATTTTTTTTTTTGTTTTTATATTAAGAATGAGAATGGGATGAGGCAATCAAAAGAGAGTCTAGAAGGAGAAAAAAGAAAGGAAACTGAAAAGTCGGGAGTTCGGCTAAGCAATCAGGTGAGCTGAACTCTGCGCCTTTGAGGAAAACAAGGAGCAGAAGGCGCAATGGCAAATTCCAAGAGGCAGGGGAATTCCTGGAGAGAAAACTGAGCTGCTGATATCTGTAGTAAGGGATAAGTAATGTCCTCATGAGAAGGCTAAGAACAAACTTAGGAGACGCGGACCTCATCTTCCCCAGCGTCCACATCCGGCAGTTTATGCAGAATATGTGGTGTAGAAACTACAGCAGCCTCCTCCACTCAGCAGACAGGAGACTGGCCTCTGTCAGATCAGGGAGGGAATGGGAGTCTGGCCATCACATTGATCGTTTTCTGCACAATCTTTCAGATGAGGCATGCAGTCTATCCGAATCACCCGCTGAGATGTTGCCCCATGCGGGGTCACCCGTCGTGTAGACGCTGCCTTTGTGCAGTTGAGGGAACTAGCCCCTGCCGCACAATACGTATTTATATTCACGTGTGCCTGTTGTGGGAGCAGGGCCGGCAGATCACCATGATGAGGGTGAGCAGAGATTGCATGACCTGATTTGGGAGGGGAGCCCCAGGCAATCTGGGAAGGGGAAGGATGTGGGGAACAGAAACTCTTCGACTTGTCTCTCCATGGACTCCGCCCACAGGAAGGCCAGGGGGCTTTATGCCCTTGTAGGCGGTTACTTTAGAACCCTGCTGCAGACAAACACCGGCTATCCTCAGGCAAACCCATCAGGTAATTTTTCTAGTATGGACTAATAGATTATCCTTAAGAGAGGAAATGGGGGAAATGGAGGAAAGATGTTCAGCTGTACTAAGTATTATAAAAGGAGAATCATGGTTGAAAAAATAGGAGGCTATCAGACTTGGAGCCTTGGTAACTCAAGCTTCATACAGAAGTCAGGGTTGGGCCAGAGCTACAACAGTGCACAGGACTTAGGTTGAATAAAAGGTCACAGAGGCCAGGGGCCTTTTCAATGGTTGCTGTTATTTTTAGCCTGATATAACTATTCTGTAGTTATGCACACAGAAGCAACAAGTGGTGGGGAAACACATCCTGGCTCTCTTGTCTCCTTTAGGGATCCCAAGAGTCATTGCAGAAGCCAGACTCTCGAGCAAGTGTTGTACGAAGTCAGTGGTCTAGGACATCTCGGAGCCCATCCACCAAACCTCCATCAGTAGAGGAGTCAAGAAGCAGGAACACCAGTCTTAAGGTAAAACTAGAGATGAAAGGGTGGGGGGAAGCAGATTAAAAGCAATAATGGTTTACATCTATTGAAGCTTTCTACATGCCAGGCCCTATCCCTCTATACTTTATGTTTTTTTAGTTAATTTAACTATAACAAAAACTCTCTCATAAGCTCCCATTTTATCACTGAGGAAATTGAGGAATCAACTTGCTGAAGGTTTCACAGTAACTAAGTGGTAGAGGTCAGATTACAACTCAGGAGTTTCTATGTCTAGAGCCTGCACATTTTCTCTTACCTTTCTTCATCCATTCAAAAAAAATTCATTGAGTACCCTTGGCTCTCAGAAGAGGATATAGAAAGGTTAAAAGACAAAAAATTAATCCCATTGGATTGTGTGTGCTTTGGCCCCTTAACTAGGCCTGATCACATAAGTAAAAGTATATGTATATACATGTATATATAGAGAATTTTTTTCAGATGCAGAGAAAATAAAGATCTAGTCACTGGAAGAATATGTATTCATACATGTATTCATTTATCTATCTCTGTCAGGCTGGGCTCAACAATCTCATCAAGAACTTCCCTTTGAGTTACATGTGAAACAATCATAAAAACTGTAAAATATATGGATGTGTAATAATTTCTTACACACCTTAGTAGAAGAGACCCTTCTCAAGAATGGTTCCTACCTATTGAGGAAAAGGGTTTTCTGCTACTGAGCTGCTGCAGGTTACTGTAAAGGCAGTGAAAGGTTTTTGCTTCTCCAGTCTTAGCATTATTCACATGGCAAATAGGGAGACAGGCCCTCTCTATGCCAGGTGGAGAGTTCTGGTAGGAAGGTCTGGCGCAGCTTGCACATGGAGATAACTAGAGGCCACACAGTGAGGTACTGGCCAAGCAAGATCTGCTACTCAAGGTCTTTCAGAGGCCTCTGTCTAGGCAGGTACATGGCAGGCAAGGGCAGAACCTTGCAAACTGGGTGCCACCTGCCTGAGGGTGAGGAAAAGGACCTATATCTTAACTACTTACAACCAAAAAAGGTGATGCTGCCAGATGCATCTGTGAGGTGCTGATGGGGAAGCTAGGGGACAATGAAAGCAGTGTGTGTCTATTTAACAGAAATATGAAATTCCTAATTTCATAGACTAGAAATGCCTGACCCCTTTAGGCTCTATTTAAAGGAGCTTAGATGAACCATGATCCCTCTTGGACCAGTCCAGACAAAATAGGCAGCTTTCCTTTATCAGAGTTGGGCTGAGATGGGGATAAGGATCTGGATCAAACCTTGAATCCAGGCACCAATTTTCTTGCTCTAGCTCCAAAACAGCTCCACAACCTCCCGAACTTCATCTACTTCCCCCAGCCAGGAGGACTCTCCACCACCACAGGCTTCGCCAGAACCCTCTCCACCAATGCCCAAAACGCAGCCAGAGCCAGAAATGCCTCTCGAATCGCAGCCTCCCACGCCCCCCGAACCAGAGTCCAGCCAGAGGCGCAAGAAGTACGATGGCCCCACGCCCCCAGGGTCTGAGACCAGCAGGCGCAAGAAATACGATGCTCCCTCACTCCCAGAACCAGAGTCCAGCATCAGGCGCAAGAAGTATGAGCCTCCAGAAGCCTGGGCTCAAAGCCTTGGGCGTGATGTCCGCGATAACCGGAACTCTCTGGCGCGGGACACACGCAGTGACTCACGAGACTCGCACATGCAGCCGCGGGAATATTCGCGCCCGACTCCCACCGAGTGGAAGGCCTATTCCCAGCGTCGCCCGCACTACCCTACCTCCATCCAGATGGATCTCGACTGTATGTCGGAAATGCAACAGCAGAAGCTGCAGGAGGAAGACGAGATAGATGAGGCCTACTGGGCATCCGTGAAGCTGCTGTACGAGAAAATCCCCAGTTCCTCGCGCCCACGGCCGGTGAGCAGGCCCCCAGTGCAGGTACCCCAGGAGTGCCTCCTGCAGCCCCACAACCTCCCTCTAGTCCATTGCATAGCCAAGTCAGTTCAGGTTCTTCCCGCCCCACCGGCTCCTATGCAGTCCCTCTGTCTGTTGATATCTCCTCCTGTCCTTGCCCTTCTTTGCAGCCCAAACCCAAGAACGCCATCACCATCGCTGTGTCATCTCGGGCACTCTTCAACATGGTGGATGACAGGAGAATCTATGAGGAAGAAGGTCTGGAAAAGTACATGGAATATCAGCTCACTAATGAGAACGTCATCCTGACTCCCGGGCCCGCGTTCCGCTTTGTCAAGGTATCCACAAGATGTCTGGCTCTGCCAGGACCTTGGACTGCGAGAGAAGGACCAGGGCCCACCTTTGGGAACTCTACCAGTTCCCCCTACATTTTCTGGACGATTTTTGTCAATTTCCTAGGTCCTTCTCTCTACCTACCCCCAGAGATAATTCTAGTAAATTGAACATTATAAAAATTTTTAACATGCCTTACCTATGATTATTGCCCCAGTTCACCTTAGGTTTTCACTTATAGGACTTTAGCCCATAGTCCTAGATGTGGGACGTTACCTTTCCTATTAAGAAGCAATAATGAGTTTATAATCCTGAGTAGAAATAAAACATCTTATTAAAATGGGATGAAAGTCACTTTAGCTGCTCTGGCCACAAAAATAAAAATTAAGAAAATGAAGATGTTTCTGGTACTGAGGGGCATGAATATGCACTGAATATATAGCACTCATAACAGATCCTCTGTGTAATTTACACAATTATTACACAATAATATAGCCATTCGAAAACAAATGACACCTCTAGGAGTTGTAGGTAGAAAGAACTATGGAACCCCAGTAGAAGCATGAGAGGAAATCCCAAACCTAAAGACCCTTGGTTTAAAAATAATATTCCCTTGCAGTAGGTATGGTAAAATTGGAACACACAGAGATGATCATTGTGGCCTCTGTAGAAAATGATGTATAAATTCCTAAAGCGTTCCGTATTTTTCACAGTAAAAAAAAAATGATGGTTAGATTATCATAAGGGCAGATTTTACAAATTAAAACAAACAAAGCATAAAAAAGGTTAGCCTGATCCTTCTATCTATCCCCCAGAGATAATTCTAATAATACTAAATGTGTGATGTTTGAACACATTAAATGTAAACATTAACAGTGGTCCTATGTATGGGAGGTGGAAAATACAGAAATGAATGGTATAAACTTGACATGAAGGAGCCATAATCTCTTGGTGAAGACTCTTCAGAGCTTGAATCTGATCCTGATGAGGTGCTTCCTCTCCAGCCTCCCAAGGCCCACCTTGCCTGTGCCTCTTTACTTACATCCTTGTTTATAACCTGCAGGCACTGCAGCATGTCAATTCTAGACTCCGAGATCTGTATCCTGATGATCAGGAATTATTTGATATTGTACTGATGACTAATAACCATGCCCAAGTGGGAGTGCGGCTTATAAACAGCGTCAATCACTATGGTAAGTAAAATAAATACCATGTGGAAGACCAGCTCATAGCTTTGGAAGAGAGAAGCCATGTTATTTTGCTAAACTGTGGCCTAACCAATGCAGTATCTTTGATATCGACACCCCCTCCTGAGTGAGGAATGTTTATTTGCCTATGTCAGAAGCAGAAAGGCCATGTTCATTTTTAACTTCAGCACAGAGTTGGGCTCAAAGCTCTGGACTTAACTTGTCAAGTGTGAATTTCAAAGTCTTAATCCCAGGCCCTGCAATATATTTCTGTTTTATGTTTTTCACTTCTGAACTTGACTTCAAGGGGCCATCAAACCAAAAGCTTTCTCTGCCTGATCAAACTTCTTGTTCACCACATATCCATGTTAAGGGTTTAAAGGTTTTCACCTCTCCTTTCCTCTTAAAAATCTGATTCTCCTGACTGCTCTCTCTTCCATACATCAAATCCATACTCATGCCAGTAAAAGTGTCTTGATTCCTTTACATGGAAAATTTGATTGGCTCTAGTCTCCAGAGCATTTCCATCAGTATATCACTTTTTCCTAAAGTTTCCATTTTCCTTACTTTGAAATTATCTGACTTTTTATTTGGTGTACAACTATTCATTTTTCTAAGGAATATATCCAGTCTTGTTGGCATATTAAGTCAAAATCAGGTTTAAATTGTACACTTTTAAATTTTAGGTTTAAATTGTACACTCTTAAATTTTAGGTTTAAATCGGGCATATTTATAAATAATCAAAATATATTTTGGGTTCATTACTGGGTTTAAGTTATTGTGTTTTATTTTATATTACCCTAATTATAAGATTGCTATCTTACTGAGACATAGTTTTAAAATTTTGCCTTTTAAAAAATGCAGCCTTCATAGAATTAAGAATGAAAAGAGAAAATGTATATAAAAGATTTAGCATAAATGAGTGGCATACAATAATCATTCAAAAAATGAAAAACTACTATTTTTAAGACACGTGGTTTTATTTGATTTAGTAGGTGATATAGGTTTATACATCCCTCACCACATTGAGTCTGCTGAATTTGGAAGCATAAGGAATTAGTTATTTAAATATGAAATCCCCCAATGAGCCAATTGTGCACAACTTTTTCATGAAACCTCATTGATAAACTAACAGTTTTTCTCCAGAGTTAGTTAGTACTTTCTCTGCTGTGGTCTTTGTTATAACTTTTTACATACCCAGCTCCTCAGGAAACTGTGATCTCCTTTTGAAAAGGAACAATATTTTAATCATTTCTGAAAACCTAGTGTCACCAAATATTTTCTGGATCATTAAATTAATAATTTACAGATTTGTAGGGTCCGATTTTGTGTCACTTATACCCAACATTAGTTCATGTTTAAAAGTAAAAGTATTTTCTTAGCATGAAAGCAGCCATACTTCACCTCTACTGTTGATGGATCCCACCCACTCCCTTTGACCCTACAGTGTCAAACAGCTGACTCAACTGATAGCTTACTTTATATTGCATGCATCTACCCAGCTTCTCATAGATCTACAAAAGACTCTGAATAGATATATAATATTTTATTATATGTATGATATTATACTTCACCTAACTATACTCACATTATTGAACACGTTTTGCTTTCATATATAACCCTGAGCTAAGTAGAGAATATAGCCCAGTGGCAGAGCACTTGCCTAGCATGCTCCAAGGCTGGGTTCAATACCCAGTATCACAAAGAACAAAAATGAATAACCCTGACTTAAGATCTTTTAATATAATTTTTTATCAGTATTTCATATTATTTCCTTAGGATAAACCCCTGAAAGAAAGGAATCCTAGGTAGTATTTCAGACTTCTAAAAGCTCTTAATAGGTATTGTCAAATTAACTTTCTAGAAAAATTAACCAATTTATTCTTTGATCCACAGTATTAGTGGCTAGATGTCTATTTTACAAACTTATCACAAATAGGCAGTGTATTTTTAATTGTTGATATGAAAGGCATTTAATAGTATATAAATGTTGAGTCTACTAATAATTTCATTAAAAGCTTCAAGTCAGAAAAGAGTGACAATTTCAAATATTTTATTGTTCTTGGAAAACAGTTTAAATCCTAGCATTATTTATTATTACTATTGTATTGCTACTGAAGAATGGTACTTAAAATAGAGCCATACTTGATGACCCCCCTTTTTTTTTATTGGTTGTTCACAACATTACAAAGCTCTTGACATATCATACTTCGAACTGATGACCCCTTTTTATCAAGTAAGGAGGTCACAATGCAACAAAAAGAGCACACTGCTGTAGTCTAAACAAGAGGAAAATACCTCAAGTCTGCCCTATGCAAGTGAATGGGTGGGTTAGACAGGTCTTTGTGTCTCATTATCCTTTTCTGTCTTAAGGATAATATCTGGCATGCTTTTGTGAGAATAAACCAGCATGTTCTATATGAAAATGCTTTTAAAAAACTATAATGCATCAAAAAACATTCCCTATTTTATAAAATACCTGAGAAAAATTTTCAATATTGATGCTATGAAAGTAATTTTAAACTTTAATTATTTCCATAGTAATTTTCATTTAGATGTACAAATGAACTCACTTGGATTTAAAAATAAACTCAGTTATTCATAAGGTAACTTTCATTGATTTACAGTGAATGGTCTTTAGTCTGGGTCATAACAAAGTTTTTCTTGCCTAATAATAGGCCTACTAATTGACCGCTTCTGTTTGACTGGTGGAAAAAGTCCCATTGGCTATTTGAAGGCATATCTTACCAACTTGTATCTTTCTGCGGATTCTGAAAAAGTCCAAGAAGCAATACAAGAAGGTATTTTAACCCTCTAGTTAGTAAAGAGCTCTGCACTGATGATTCACATAGGATGATGTGGCTTATGTCTTGGGTCTTCTAAGGCGTTTTCACACTTGGAAGCCCTTATGCTTGTCCTTTAGAGCTTTGACTTTCCTGGAGGTGGGGGGGACCTCCTTAGTGACTGACCCACAATCTATTTTTACTTCCCACTCCTATTGAAACAGGTAATGAATGATAGGCCTCTGTTCTGAGAGGTGTATGGGTAGAGAGGAGTTGTCTCATCAGATAATAGCTAGAGAGGAAATGGGGTTGGGAGGGCATTTGTTTTCGTTTTGTTTTGGTTTGGTTTGGGGTTTGTTTTGGGTTGGTGGGAGAAACTAAAACTCATGACCCTACAGAGTATTAATAGATCCCCATGATCTGTCAGGTATTGCCTCTGCAACAATGTTTGATGGAGCCAAAGATATGTCTTACTGTGACACACAGCTCCGTGTGGCCTTTGATGGGGATGCTGTCCTCTTCTCTGATGAGTCTGAACAAATTGCCAAAGAGCACGGGCTGGACAAATTCTTTCAACATGAAACACTATTTGAAAATAAGCCGCTTGCTCAGGTAGGTACATAAGCTCTGATTAATTTTGATGTACTGATTTTCCAACATAAGGATATAAATATTTGTTCATTATGATAGTTTTTTAAATTATTTTTGGCAGTCCCTTTTTCCCTGTTTCGTCCTTGCAGTTTTTTCTTTTCATTTGGGAATTCCTCACTTTGAAGCATCCACTGCTGACATTTTTTTTAAAATTTAAGAGTCTTTTAACTATCTTTTATAAATACTTCTGTGATCATCCCATGATAATGAGTTCACCCCCTCCAAATTATGAGTGACAGAGGAAACACCACCCACCAATACACCATTTCCACATAATAGGTTCTCAAAATATTAAGATAATTTCTACTAGATCAGTAAACACTTGTTTCTCTCAAAAAAAGACATCACTTAACTGAGAAAATAGCAAGACTAAGAGTTTGAACTGAATCAAATATGAATCTCAAAAAGTGCAAATTGTGAAGACTTAATCAAACTGAAAGTAAATATTTACATTTCAAGAACCCATCCATGAACTGAAGTGTTAAAATCAATATATGAAATGAAAAAAACCTACAACTTCTGAACCAAAGGAAATTGAAACATCAAATCATTCAGTTTCAAGCTAGGATTCTTCAGTCATTCAGTTTTCTTTTTTTTTTCCCCTCAGTTCTCTTTGAACCTTAATAATCTTAAATATTGTTATTTTGGCTTTCATGAATAAAACTATGAATGTACTGTTCAAAAACTGAAAAGTTTTACTATTTCGTAACCTCACACTAGGGAAATGATATTTAAATTATGATGAAGTCAGTTTTATCAATTTGTTCTCACAAATTTCGCTTTCAATGTGTTATCTAAGAAATGTTTGCCTAAAATCCAGGTCACAAAGCTTTGTCTTCTCTGTTGATGTTCAGAAGTTTTATTGTTTTAGGTCTTACAATCATGATCTCTTTTGAGTTAATATTGTGTTGAAATAAAATATTGCCTGTAGTTTATTTTCTCTGCTTTTGGATACACTGATTGTTCTAGCACTATTTGGTGAAAAGGCTTTCTGGTCTGTTCCTTTGATATAAGTATTCATCTTTTCATCAATACTATACTGTCTTGATTATCATAGTTTTAGAGTAAGTCTTAAACTCAGTTGGTATGAGTTCTCTGACTTATTTTTCCAAAACTGTTTTTGATAGACTAACTCCTTGCATATTTATACAGATTTTAAAAGCTCTTATCTATCTTGGGGTGGAGGGGAAGTCCTGCTGCAACTTTCATTGGGTTTTTATTGAATTTATAGCTAAATATGGGGAGAACAAATACTTCAAAAATATTGAGTATTTTGGTTCATGGATGTGGTATATCTCTCCATTCATTTAGAATTTTTAAATTTCTTTATTTCATAGTGTTTTATAGGTTCCAGAATACAGATTTTGCATATTTTGTTAGTTCATACCTATACATTTTATGTTTTGATCATATTATAAATTGGTACTTTAAAAATCTTTAATGTCCAATAATTTATTGCAAAGACACAATAGATTTTTGTATGCTGACCTTGTAACCTTCAGTCCTGTTAAATTGCCTTTTTAGTCATAACATTTTTGTAGATTATTTGAGGTTTTCTTTTTTTTAAAGAGAGAGAGAGAGAATTTTAATATTTATTGTTTAGTTTTCAGTGGACACAACATCTTTGTTTGTATGTGGTGCTGAGGCCACACACATGCCAGGCGAGCGCGCTACCACTTGAGCCACATCCCCAGCCCCTTATTTGAGTTTTTCTAAGTAGGCAACAATGGTGACTATGGATGAAGACAATGTTGTTTCTATCTTTCTATGTTGTATGTTTTTTCTTTATCTCTTCTGCCTAATTACCTTGCTAGTCCATCCAGTACAATGTTTAATGGTAGTGATGAGAATGGAACTCCTTGACCTGACCTTAGGGGAACATCTTTAACTCTTAAGCATGTTAGCTATAGGTTCTTTTTAGATCCCTTTGTCAACTTGAGAGAGTTGCCTTCGATTGCTAGCTTTTTTTTTTTTTTTTTTGTAAGTGGATGTTGGATTTTTGTATGTATTGAGAAAATCATGTGGTTTCTCTAGTTTATGGATATATAAATTACATTGGTGCATGTTAAATGTTAAAGCAGTTTTGCTCTGTTGGTATAAACTCAGGTTGTCATATGATATCCCTTTTTATATACTGCTGGATCCAACTTGCTAAAATTTAGATTTTTCTTTGCCTTCATGTTCATGAACAATATAGTTCTATAGTTTTCTTACAATATCTTGAACTAATTTTGGTCAAAGAGAAATGCTGATATCATAAAAATAATGCAAACTATTTTAAATGTTTGGTAGATCTTTCTAGAGAAGCCATCTGGACCTGGACTTTTCTTAATAGCTACAGAGCTATTATTCATATTTTCATTTCCTTTCTTCTCTGTGTTTATGAATTTGTATCTTTTAAGGAATTCATCAGTTTCAATTAAGTTGTTTTTATGAACATAAAGGTTTTTTATATTTTCTTTAATTATTTACAGGATCCTTAGTGACGTGTCTCCTCTCTCATTTCTGATATTAATAATAAGTATCTTCATTTATTTGTTGATTTATTTGGTCACTCTCATCAGAGATTTATCAATTTTATTTATCTTTTAAAATGAACCAGATGTTTCTAAGATTTTTAATGTGGAAGCTGAGGTCACTGATTTGAGACCTCATTTCATTTCTTATGAAGTTTCCTCTATACACTGCTGTAGTTACATTCCCTAAATATTAGTAAGTAGTATAATTTTCATTCGGTTAAAAATATTTTTTTAATTTATATCTTCCACTCTTATCCTTTAGCTATTTAGAAGTAAATTATTTAATTGTCAAATATTCTGAGTTTTTCCAAATATTGGTAGATTATGCACAATACACTCTCGAGCAATATGATACATATCATCTTTCTATAAGATTCCATATCATCTTTGTATAAGATGACAATGTACCCCCAAAACACTATTTAACACTCTACCATATTTTGTAGCATTGAGTTCATACATTTTATCTATAAACTCTCAAAACCCTGTTAGCTACTTTTTATTCTGGTAATCAAATATCTTTGAGTGAATAAGGATAAGACAAAAAAATGTCTTTTATATTCATAGTATTTTAAATATTTGCATGATCACCTTTTCATATTTCATGTAAGAAAATTCTGCTGGTAATGAATTATGTTTTTCTTTGCCTTAAAAGTCATTTCTCCTTATTTTTAATAACATTCTGGGTTTACTGTATTTTTTCTTTCAGCACTTTGAAGATGTCTTTCCATTGTCTTCTAATGTCATTCTATATAGGTTCTGATAACAAATTTTCTGAAATTTCTATCTGTGGTCCTCTGTATGTATCCATTTCTCCCTGGCTGCCTTCAAGATTTTCTGTGTATTTTTTATTTAGGCTGTTTAAATACTGTGTGTGTGTGTGTGTGTGTGTGTGTGTGTGTGTCCCACAGAATTTCAGTGTTTTGCTCTCTTTCTCTCCACCCTTTTATTCATTTTTTTTAAGTCTTGGTAATTTCTATTCATCTATTTTTTCAAGTTTATTCATTCCTTTCTTAGCCATGATGAGTCTATCTACTAGTATATCCATTGAAAGTATTCATTTCTGTGAAATCGTTTTTATTTCTAGAATTTCCCTTCAACTCTCTTTTCCTCATGCGTGTTATCTACTTTAAAGTAGATGCTGAGATATTAATTATAGTCTCCTTCAGTTGCTTCTGTTATATTTATGACATTTGGGTCATCACCAAGTCTAACCTTTTTTATTTCTCTTGAAAGAGAATTGCACTTTCGTTTTGTTCAATTTTTGTGGTTTCATAAAATTTGATATTACTAATTGTAGTGTATGAATGTGAAGACTTTTATGAATAATATTTTTGCCTTGTAACAGTTATTCTTCCTCTTCTACTAGAAACTATTATGATATATTGAATCAATGTAATCAAGAGTTAAGCTGGTTTTAGATATTGTGCTATGATTTTCTTCACTGCATCACAGGCTTCAAATTTTTCTAGTATTAAATGTGTTCTAAAGATGCAGCTAGGTTTGCCCTGAGGGTTTTCTGCTGTACTTTCAGCTTTAGGCCTTCTCTATAAGTCTGTGCCTCAGATGAATCTACATTCCCAGCTGTTGCTTCTTTGTCTCTCTGCCTGCTCTGTCTCTCCTAGGACTCTAAGGACAAGGACTTTGCCTTTCCCCCAGTAAAGGAAGATGCCTAATGGTCTGGGTCTATGATAAATTCTTCTGCCTCCCCCAGGAGTAGAAGATTTTTCCTTTACCCTTTCCCAGTCATAGTAGATCTTTACTTGTGCCCTGGAGGATAACATGCTTAAAGTCTTTCTAGTAGTGAAGCCTCTAGGTCCTTGGGATATAGGCACTAGGTAGTATTTCAGTCATTTCTCAAAGTGGCTGTTCTGCTCTTCCAAGGCTGTACCATCAAGGATGGCTTTCTTCTGTCTCCTACTCTGCCTGAAATCTTTCTCATAAACACCTAGGCAAGTCCAGGCAGTAAAGTTTTGATAAAGTGTGTACTGGTGTCTATGCATCACACAGCGTCTGTACTCATGATTCCATCCTTTATTAATGTGTTTTCTAAATCACCTGAATTTTTCATTCTTGCTTATACAGTGTCTGCTATTTCTTTCCTCAATGCTTTGCCATGGGTGTAGCAGCTCTTTCATCTCATCTTTACTTGGAAAGACACCCGTTTTTTCCTTAGATTCCATGGTAGTTGGTTGCCATTTAATATTGGCTCTCTTATGAACTGAAGAAAAGTTATAATACTTTCAGATTGTCAGGTGTTTTTCTTAAAGTAGGAATAGTCCTTTTGGCTTTCTACATCTTAGGTAGATTCCCAAATGTTTTAAATCATACATCTCCTCAAAAAAAGTATTTTTAATAACTTTGCCTAATAGTCTCACATTTTATTCATAAATTATATGCTTTTAGTAGTGAACAAATATATAGATTATAAAACATACACAAAAATAGAAGTAAAAGAGAATGAGTAGATAACTGGTTTGAATATGGTTACACAAATTCAATATTCCTATTTCATTCCTTTGGAAAGTATTCAGTGTAACAAGAATAGTGTCCTTCTGAGTATCAAAGACAAACTGTGACCACAATGGCTCCACCAATTTTACTGTATTTCCCAAATAAAAGGAAAAAGAGTCACAGTTTTTCCACTTATGCTTCTAACCTTTAGAAGTTAAATTTACTTGCTTATTCTGATATATGCAGCCTCAGAGGAAGGTAGAACCAAGCAAATATTAATATAAGAGGTCTTGTTTCCAGATAACATTTGGTTTCCTAAAAACAGAGAAGGAAACCTTTGAATTGTTAAAAAGTGAGTCTCCCCAAACCACCAACAGTTCCAAGGAAAATCCATCTACTTTGGTATAATTAATAAAAAGAGAATACAGGCAAAGATGCCAAGAGAAAAAGGCAGATCAAAAAATAACATCATTTAATAATAGTGGATGAAGAATTTTCACTAGGAAAAGTTTCCATGGTTCAGGTGAAGATAGTGAGAATTTGCCACAACAAAAACTTTAATATAAAGCAGAATCATAAAATATAAATAAAATGAAATAATCAGGGAAATAGATGATAAAATGTGAAATGTAGAGTGCCAAAATGTGCCAATATTAGTAGAATTGAAAATATTTTAGAGAGAAAAATGGCAGAAAAAGATCCCAGGGAAAGAAAGTCCAAAATATGTATAAGTGGAATCCCTGAAGTAAAACATTGAAATTACTGAGTGAGATGTGATTAAGTAAAGATCAAATTTATATAAAATACAAATCAAGAAAACATTCTTGTGTTATCAGATTTTAAAACATACATTAATTATTAAATTATTAGAGATATAAGTCCATGTTTTCTGATAGGAAAATAGAGCATCACTGAGATAGCCAAATTAAATTATTTGATTTCAAAGAATAATAATTATTTGGGCTGTCTGCCCACAGACAGACCAATCCACATAAGTGGTGGGTGGGTCGGGTAGTTATTAAGCTTCCCTCAGACTTTTCAACAGCCACACTCCATAGAAAAAAAACTACTTATAAGATCTTATATATACACAATGGAATATTATTCAGCATTAAAAAGAGAATAAAATTATAGCATTTGCAGGTAAATGGATGGAGTTGGAGAATATAATGCTAAATGAAGTAAGTCAATCCCCAAAAAACAAATACTGAATGTCTTCTCTGATATAAGGATGCTGATTCATAATGGGGATTGAGGGAGGGAGCATAGGAGGAATAGATGAACTTTAGATAAGGCAAAGGTGAGGGAGGAGAAGGGGGAGCATGGAGATGGGAAAGATGGTGAAATGAGACAGACATCATTACCCTAAGTACATGTTTGAAAACACGAAGGGTGTGACTCTACCTTGTTCAACCAGAGACATGAAAAATTCTGCTCTATTTGTGTAATATGGATTGAGTTGCATTCTGCTGTCACATATTACAAATTAGAATAAATAAAATAAAAAATTTTAAAAATTTTAAAAAAAGGTCTTATGGAGAGAAAATATAAATCATGGATTCTACATCTAGTCAAAAGCTGAAGCGCAGAGCAAACCACCAAACAGTTGAAAACACACTAAATTCTCAAGGATTATTTCCATGAGATTTTTCTGGAGAAAACTAGTAGAGTAAGACAAACTTTTTCCAACATGTGGATGACTGGATGGAGTAAAGCACAAATGGGCATAGAATATATTTAACCATAGATTTAAAGGTCTGCAGGGACTAGAGTAATGGCAAAAAAGGTATGTGTGTGGGGGGCTAATATTATGTGTCCTAACAATGCTGTAATTATATAACCAATGAGAAATAGAAAAATATATGGAAAAAAGAAAGTCTACAGAATATTAAGTATTCTGATGTTTTCATCTATAGTAATCAAAGAATAAAAATGTGAAGTTTCTAAAAATAAAGGAATATTTGATAATGTAAATGTAAACACTGAGAAAGATTAATTAAATGACTAAAAATTTTATGATGGATAAGTAGAGGATGAGATAAATATTGAGAAAAAATACTCTAATTTCTTTATTTCTCATAATAAAGTATAATAAACCAAGGATTTTAAAAAATAGAGGACTAAGCGTCCTAAAATGTTATAGTTACAAATGTGACCAGTAGAAGATAATTTAAAGCTTCTAACGTTAGAGAAACCATACATATATACATACAAAGGATAAAGACATTTAATGAATAATCTTTTAAAATTTTCAGACTTAGAAAATATAACAAAATTACAAAATAGAACCCATATAAAGCATATTTCTAATATGAATAAATGTAAAGGGATTAAAACTCATCTATTGTTTAAAAAAAGACTTCCAGATTTGATCACATAGCAAAATTCAGTTCTATTCTCTATTCAAGAAATATAGCCAAAACTATTCAGAAAGGTGGAAATAAAAGTAGGTATGAAAATATACAAAGAAACTATAAGACAAGGTTGGATTCAGGCCAAGATTTTTTTAAAAAACAACATTATACTAGACAAGTGAGTAAACTTTTAAAATATGCAATTCTGAAAAATTTAAATCAGTGCTTTTGGCAACCAACTAAAGTTAGAGTGTGATCATCTATAACTCTTTGCCACAAATAGTTTATGTCTATTGTCCTGGTTTAATTATTATGGAATGTTTCTTTCACATGTTAAAATATCTTTTTAAATTTTTTTAGTTGTTGATAGACCTTTATTTTATTTATTTATATGCTGTGTTGAGAACCAAACCCAGTGCCTCACACATGCCAAGCAAGTGCACTACTGCTGAGCCACAGCCCTAGCCCTAAAATAGCTTGACTTAGATGATAAATCATATGGTCATCCTATCTTAATTCCAGGAATGCAAATATGGTTGCATATAAGGATATATATTTACATAAATAAAGCGAGTTTTTAGCATTATTCCTTCAGCCTAGTAACACTGCATGTCATGTACTGTTAGATTAGATCTTTGTATAAGCTCTTATAAGCCTCTGCTATTTCAGTGATGACTTCCTTTGGTTCACTAGTTTACAGCTGTGACATATGTTCCTTTCACAGGGTCCCTTGAAAGGCTTTCTGGAAGACTTAGGCAGACTGCAAAAGAAGTTTTATGCCAAAGATGAACGGTTACTTTGTCCTATCAGGACCTACCTGGTTACAGCCCGAAGTGCAGCCAGCTCAGGTGCCCGGGTGCTGAAGACTCTTCGCCGCTGGGGTCTAGAGATAGACGAAGCTCTTTTTCTTGCGGGAGCCCCTAAAGGTCCCATCTTGGTGAAGATCCGTCCCCACATCTTCTTTGATGACCAGATGTTCCACATTGAAGGGGCAAAGAAATTAGGCACCATCACAGCTCATGTACCTTATGGAGTTGGCCAAAAATACCACACTTAGCGATGAGGACAAGAAAAAGAACAGTGACATTCTAGTATTACAGAGGAAACTTCCTTTGGATGTTTAGAGTAATCAGGTATTTTAGAAGCTTGGACCTAAAAACTAGCTCCTTTTGGAAGTTTCCTCTTCATGTTCTGGGGCAACATTTTCAACTATCAAGTAACCTTCAAGCTACTTCTCTTTGTCAATGCTGTTGAATGCCATTGCATCTGCCTTTGTGTAAATCATGATGACTCTTTAGGATAAATTTTGAATTTGAATACTTGAATGACTAAGGGGCTGTTTCAGAAACTTTCTTAGTTTCACAGAACAATGCTCATTTTTGTTCTGTGACATAGTATTATTACCTTCCTTTTCTTTCATTTTTTGAATTTGGTACATAGAATGAATTGTTACCCATCATCACCTTAGATTAGTGGTTTTCAAAGGTGGAAAGTGTTTTAAGTATGCTCTTGAAAAACAAGTTGAAATGAAAATGTTACTCTCTACATGCATGAGTTTACCAGTTTTGACACTTCATTTGGAAATAAAACAGCTGACTATATAAGCTTTGTAAGATAGGGCACTTTGTAAGACAAGTTCTAGACACAGCCTACTGAGAAGGGTTCTTTGAAACTTTCTTGGTGAGTTAATTGCCTCTGAACTATAAAACTTCATATTCAAAGACTCCTGCTTTGGACTAGGCAAGTTGTGCCAATATTCGTGTGAGGGGGGGAAATTGGCCACCACTTCAAAATGTGTCATGACATGTTGTATCATGGCCTCTGCCATTCTGTTATAATTTTTGTCTTACTTTCATTAACATTTGATTGGTTAGTAACCATAATATACCATATGTTAGGGATAGTGAGCTAGTGATTTTTGTATTATCTCATTTTCTTATCAAATTAAATGTTTGTGACATAGTATTATTACCTTCCTTTTCTTTCAATGAGGAACTTAAAATTCAAAAATAATAAGTAGGTTGTCCAAGGATGTGAAGCTAATAAGTGGTAGGACCAAAATTCAAATTCAAATATTTAAGTCATGTGTTTCTTTCTTCTCTGTTACACATTATTCAAAAAGAGTTGTCATTACTTCCATTGCCTTTGGATTAGTCACTCTATTAAGTTCCAGGCAAAAGCCACACAGCAATTACATAACAAATCTAAGGATTATTTTCTTCCTCTTGTCCTCATACTCTTTCCTGCTCTCTCTATGCCTACCTCCATCTCTACTCTTCCTTCACATAAAGATTCCACCCTGGCTCTAATTGAGAAACACCACAGGTGGCACACATCTTTTAATCTTCTCCCTAATTTGTTGAAAACCAGTACAAAGTATATTAGTTGTGACACATTTTGAGTACTTATATCCTTTAGGAAACTGAAAACATTAACAGTATTGTAGAGGAAGTCCAATGTGGGAACTCAAGCAGCCAATACAAGAAGGCTGTTTGTCCTTAGTGCCAATGAGGGTCACACATGAAACTGAGGAAGCAGAGATCCATAGAATCTGGAACTGATCAGGAAGAACAGACCTGAAATGGACTTTGAAGGATGGGCAAGATGTGGACAGGCAAAAAGGAACAGAAAGAGAAAACAGAAATGTGCTTGGGGCTGGGCATTTAAGTGACAGCTTCATATTGGGAAGAAGAAGGGGCCACCTCTCCTGATTCCTGTTCCAGATGCCTTCTATAATCCCCAGCGATAGTGGGAAGAATCCCACCACCAAGCCTTCCCACCTCTCGAGTTCCATTCTCAGTATGTAGAAAGTCACCTTCTCCTGGAATTTATCTATGTTCTCTTTGTATTATGACTATTAGATGCATGTGATATCCTTTCCAAATGTAAGTGAATGATGGTTGGCTTATTAAAATCAGCTAGGGAGGTTATTTTAAACTACACAGGTTGTTTTTTCCTTCTCCTGAAGAATCTTGAATGGATCAGGAGTGAGGGTGAGAGATGACTCTACCAGCTAGAAAACACCCTGCAGACAAAAATGGTGTCTTGTTTCTCTGTGGGTTTCACAGGGCACAGGCAGGACCTCCACATTATTGGGTAGGTGAATAGATGAATGTATGAAACCTATAAGTGTTGCCAGGTCTAAAGTCAGAAACAATAACAACTAAAGATGGGTCTCTACAGAACTAACCCCTGACATTTTTGGAGCATTTTACAGTGTACAAAGCACTCTGCCCTCCTCCCGTGGAGGCAGCAGGGAAGCATTTTTGAGTGGGTCTGCTCAATATTCTCCCACTGTACCTCTACTAGTGTCAGATAAGATCATTCAAGGGTGACTTTTTCTTCAGGCACCAAGATAAGAATTGGATATGAGGTGTCTCCCAAAAGCTCATGTTGAGACAATGCTTCCTGGCTGCCATGAGCAGAGTAACGTCCTTTGCCAAGTTCTTATGTGACATGATGCCTCATCTCAAGCCCAGAGCAATGGAGTCAGCCAATCATGAACTGAAACCGTGCACCAAAACACACCTTTCCTCCAAGTTATTCTTGTCAGGAACTTTGGTCACAGCCATAAAAAAAGCTAACAAAAGGACCTTCTCCGGTGGTTCTCAAAATGAGGACCCCAGTTCAGCTCTGGCATGTGCATTACTTGGGAGCCTGTCAGAAGTGCAGATTCCTAGGCCCCATCCTAGACCTCATGAATCAAGAACTCTGGTGCTGAAGCCCCGAACTTTGTTTTCCTTTTAATTTCCTGGCAAACACTCCAGGGGATTCTGATGCAAAGTCTGGGACCCAATGGCCTGTTCTACTTCCAACAGATTTATGGGGTTAAATTCGGGAATGCTATTCCTCAGAATTCAACTGGCATGGCCCACTCGTTCTCCAGAGGGTGAAAGTAAACAACTGAGTTTACAAGTTCCGGGAGGCCTTAATGGAAAACACGATAAATGCCTCTAAGAGTGGGGCATATGCTCTCATCCTATGCAGACATAAAGAATTCATTAGGCATTACCCCAGGAAAGGCCCCCATTCTTGGATTTCAGGAGGTATAAGCCCAGCTTCCTCAACACCGGCCCACGTGCCGGCCTCCGCCATTAGGCTGGGAGCAGGGTCTAAGGAGGGCACGCGAGGGAGAGCCCGCTGGAATTCTCTACCAATCAGGTGCCCTCGGGAGAAAAACTACAAGTCCCAGCATGCCACACGCACACTGTCAGGAGACTCCTGGCTTTGCCCCAGAGTTCTTCGCGCCAGGTGGCAGGCTTGACTCCGGAACCTCAGCGTAGGGACCCGAGAGCCCTCCGTCCGGAAGGCTATGGGGGTGGCTACTGCGACGGCCCTGTTGGCCGCACTGGGCGGGGCACTGTGGCTGGCGGCCCGGCGGTTCGTGGGC